TCTCTAACTGTCCATGTTTGCAATATTATATTCCATAGTGAATATTTTTCAGTATTTGCATCATTATTGGTAATGCTTGCAGTACAGTATATCAATGTAGATTGGTCTGGGAAGAACAGTTGTTTCAACTATCTACATAGTATTCAAGTATTTACTATTTTAAAATTTACCATACAAACTTTAAAACAATATTTCAGTCTTCTTTGTTTCAAATATTTTTGTTTTGTTTTTATCTTTCACAAAGGTTCTTGGATACCTTGCTTCAATACCTCTGGTTGGACAAGAAAAGACCTGGCTAAGGATAGTAGCTGTCTCTTATACACATCTAGATGTGTATAAGAGACAGACGTCATTCAAATCATGTATGTCGTTGTGTAAATATAGCCTACTTCATCAATACGCTTTAGTGCAGATGATTGTTCTGTTGGCCTCAATACTTTTTAAAGTTTCTTAACAACTAGTTTCTTAAAATATGTACTTAACCGCAATCTTCTGGTCCGCTTCACTGCCAGAGGGCTTTTCCAACAGGTCATGAAACAGTTTAGTATTCTTTAAATTAATTCAAGGCTATTTCCTTCATTTAGGTATACATTTACGTAAGCTTTGTACCAGGGTACGATGCACTACAAATACTTTCGCAACATACCTTAGGGCCTGAATTTTGTGTAGGTGAATAAGTTGTTTGGAAGCGAAGTATGGCGGTTTGAAAGTTGGTGAAATTATAAACGTTTCTCGTAGAATGGCCTTCATAAAATTACTAAATTTTAGGGTTTAGAGTTGAAACATTGAACCCAAACTTCAAAAATAGTAAGATTAAAGGTAATACTTTATATTTATGATATAATCACATTTTGCCCCTTTTTCTCGAAACCTGTTGATGCGAGTTTACAGCCCTTTTGTGGTCTTGGGTCACAATTATCATATCAACTCTAGCCCCACCATGGTTGGTAAACAACTTGTTTGGCGCCTATGAATGTCTGGAATCAGATGCTGGCAACCTACAGCCGCTTTCCCTTCCCCTCAAGGGGCAGCCACAATATATAAAGTTAGCATGGATGAAAGTCTATGTTGGAAATATGGCACCTCTGGATCCCATGAAATAGCAGCTGGTAAAGCTGTAGAAAATAATATTGTTAAAAATTTTATTTCTTATCATTGCCATAAGTAGATAAATTGAGTTGCTTACTCCTCTAGAAGAGCAAGAAACATGAATGCATACTAATGCATAAACCAAAAATGAATATAACATACTGTAATTGTATTTTGTGGAGGGTATTCAGCTATGAAAAATAT